TTCCTAGTCTCTACTTTGTCATATATTAACATGTGAATGCATGCAGATGTTAAAGATATAGAAAAAGGAGAGAAAAATGAAAGAAGTGCAGACGTGCAATAAGCATTTTTACCCATGGAGCTGCAAACTGTTTTGTGTTGTCCACTTCTTCCATACATCAATGTTTTTCCTCATGGTTCCATCTCCACTGCAACAGAGGTCAAAGAGATTTGTATTATTTGTGTGTAAGACTCTTTCCATATCAAAGTCATTTACAGCAGCACAATAATAGCAATCCCTCTCCCTTGTAAGTAGTTCTCCTACACTGTTCTGTTTCTCACTGCCTTTGTATTTCAGTGACCTGAACATAAGGTCAAAATTTGAAGCCCTTTAACTGATCAAATTTAAGGACCACTTGGAATGAAAAAATTCACCTCAATTCCGTATCCCCACACTTAAAAGGCATTCCAAACTATAAATCCTAATTCACTAACCTCCTCAAAAGGCACAACTCAGTAACATAAAAAAATTAGCACTGCACTTAAAACAGTAAAATCCATGTATTCAAGTTTACATGCAAGGTACCTGCAGGGGACATCACATAAAATCCTGTCATAGAAGAGGATCTCTTTTCTTCCATCAACATCTATTTGAAGGTTAGGAATGCTGGAGGCATCATGATTTACCACCATGATGCATGGACTGTTTAATCTCTTAGCCTGATGAACCAGCAAATAGCAGCGCTTGTTGTCAACATCATTGGCAATTACAAAACCACCTGGGAGCATAAAATAGTGGGAAAATGCCTTATTATTCAACAGATAAATAATTTTACATAGTTTATTACCTTATCTCTGAGACTTCTATAAACCTTTCACAAGATTTTTACTTAAAAGACTGCTCATGAATAGGGGAGGCCTTACTGAGCATAACTTAAAGCATATTGAAGGTTAACTGATGTGTCAGTCTCAACAGTTTTAGCTCCCATCCTGTGGCAGTAAGACACAGCCAAGGCCCCTTCAACTTCTTAAAGAAAAATTTCTAAAATAGAAAAAACCTCCACTGTCACCAAAGACAATCTCTACATAACCAAAGTTTCAGTACAATGCAGAAAGAATCCACATATTCTCTGCAACTTTACAGTGTCAAGGGGCAGTATCTTCTGTGAGCATCTAAACAAAAACAACAAGATTCTGAAGCTTGCAAAAACAATAAATATCACAATTTCTTTAAGTCTAAAGCAGCTTAATCCAGTGTTTGCAGGATACCATGAAAGCACAGAGGCTCATGGGCTGCCATCTACTAAGTAAACCTGATTTATATACAGAAATAAAGCTCTAATCACACGTACTGTAATTTGAACTGAAAAGATACATATAATTCATGTCTGTTTTTCAAGCAAAGGAAGTCTCTGAAGTTTCAAATGGGTGCCTTTAATCTCATAACAACCCCTTGGGGAATTCAGTATGTAGTTAAATGCAGTTACTCATCCATGACATTAAAACAATCTACTACAAGAAAAAGCAGAAATTCCAAGTCACAAGTTTTTAGTTTTCCAGACTTACTGGGAAAAGGAACATTCATGTCTGCGTGCAACATTTCAATGAGTTGGGCAGTCTTAGATCCAGGAGCAGCACACATATCTAGAATCTACAAACATAAGAAAATTTTTAAAATTCCTGCTTTGTACTTTTTCAGTGCTTGAGAAATTTACTATGTTCGTGTTTAAATTAAGTATTTTTGAATATGTAGAATTATGATTGTTCTAAACACCAATTTGAAAAAAACAAAGTACAAAAAATGATGAAAAATATACAAGGCTAAATATACTCCAAAACTCTAAACATACTCTAAAACTGTCCAGTAAACTGATGGTGGGGGAAAATTAAATGGGAAAAATAGATTAAAAATGAAATGGAAATGCTTGACAATCATTAATTTTATCCTTGTGGAAGACGTGACATACAGAACATGCTGGTTAAGCAAAATAACCTGCAATTCTGGTCCTAACAAGCAGCTCCTAAACTAAGGCACTAAGGACCATGAAAGGCCCTAAATGACAAGTCAGGGCACCATTACATCATTAAGCATTTGCTGTTTTGGCACAAGAGACGATAAAGAACCTATTCTTAGCCTGATTTATGAAATCTTACACACATTTCTGGAAACTGCTGCAATACTCACCCAAATTATACGTTCAATGTAAAGCCTATATACTGCTAGCTTATCATATACAATGTAAGGTGTGTGCAAAAATATCCCCACAATTTGTGTTTTACATTAAGATGAATGTGTTCGCCCTGTGTTCAACTCCAGACAGAAATAAAAATACACTGGGTTGGGGTGAAAAGTAGGAGAAAAAAAGGGGAAAAGTCATAGATGCTAAGAACTGCTAATATAGAAACAATTGTGTACAAACTAGTCTTTAAAACACATGTTAGTGATAAAGTTAAGATACAGCATGAAAATTTAAGAAAGAAGAACACAATGTGGCTGCTTGAGATAAAAAGGCAACTAGCTCATTAATTTAACAGATTAAGAGAATAAGGCCACCTTACAGATTCAGTCTGCAAACAAGTACAGAGTATGAAAACATCACAAAGTTAGAGTAGAAAGTTTGCTACCAGATATCCTCATTCCCGTGGCATGCCCTAAGGAAATACCATGGTCATTCCTTACACACTTCAGTTAAAGTTAGCACCCTATAGTGTTTAGCCACTACCAACAGCATGTTTCAGCTCACCCAAAATATTTCATCTAACAGATTATTTATAGAGTAGAATTTTTCAGCTCCTTCAAAAGGCATAGAGGAGTGAAATCTATGAGGTAGGGAATATTATCACTTGCATCTTGAAAACTACATCTGTTCACAGTGTGATGGAGAGAGGAAGTTAAAAACAGTTACTTTAAAAGCAGGTTGCAACAAGAATACATAACTCAGATGCAGCTAAACACACTTACACTTTGGAAATAAGACTATCCAATTGCCTAAAATCAAAGTGTTTTTTGCTGGGTATTACACACAGCTGAAAAAGGAGATGTTCCTCTCATAAAGTTTTTGTGATCTGAACATTAGTTGAGCATTACTGTTGATGTGCAGAAAGCATAAAATGTACCAACACAAAACAGAAGCAAGTATCAGCCATGATACTGCTCTTATGATTTGTAGCTCAATTAAGCTAATTTCAGGGAACAAACTTTAGCACACATTATATTCTAGACTTACCTTATGATGAGGGCTAACATTAAGCAGCAGAGGTGGGATCATACTAACAGCCTCCTGACGACTGATGTTTCCCTTGAAAGGAAAAAAGAAATTAAATCTGTTTTCATTCCATGAAAGAATGCATTTCTTTTGCAATAAAACTTTTAAATTGCTATGTAATAAAATAAGAAAGCAGTCTGAAACACACTGCTATAAACTTAGGATTAAATTCTGCTAGAATTTAATAAAAAAAAAATCACAGTATCTCACCCAATTGTAATTTCTAGTAATTGTGTATTTACTCCAATTGTATTAATTCTGCAGTTTCCACTCAAAAGAGAGGAGAAATCACTTGAATCAAGTGACAAACATCCATCACTTAAATGCTGTCATGCCCATGCATGCACTTTTTATCAGGTCTAAACATTTGGTTTCTAACAGCAACTGATCATTTTCCAGGGACTCATTTTAACATCCTCACCAACAACAAAAAAATGCAATTAGTTTAGGCAAGCATTTGTAGCTGCAGTTATGCACCAGAATCACTGGATGCACCACTACCAACAGCACCACAAAATCCAGATTCTTCTGAGCTATTCAAATTCTGAAAGAAAAAGTAGAGTCTCCATCTTTCATGATGTATTTCAATAAAACATTGCTCAGGATATGCCAGAAAAAAATAAAGATCTATTCAAAACTTACACATTCTGTCTCGCTAACCAGAAACTGATGAAACTTTTCCAGTTGTGGGGACTTGCGTAAGATTTTTCTACTTAAGTTAGTGTGCCAGGCTAACTCTTCAGGATACCTGGTGGAAAAGAGACGGGAAAAGAATAGAGGCAGAAGAAATAGACGGATGAGCCAGGCTGGTTGAAGGGAACCATGTAGAATGCCTGATCTCGCCTCCAGATCACTCACCAGCTCAGCGACTGCGGCATCTCGACTTTTTGGCCATCCACCTCCAGGTCCTGCAGCTCTCGGAAGTACTTTTCCTTCAAGCAGTGGAGAATCTCTCTGGCGTGGCTGCATGGAGAGACACCCGGAGGGACACCGGATGGAGAATCACGGAATCACAGCATGGTCCGGGTTGGAAGGAGCCCTAAGGACGGCGCAGCTCCACCCCCCTGCCGTGGCTGGGACACCTCCCCGTGTGCCAGCGGCTCTGGCAGCCGCGGTGCGGGAGCCCCCAGCCGTACCTGCGGTAGCCGGTGATGCGCAGCGTGGCGGGCAGCGGCTCCCGCAGCGCCGCCATGAACGCGTCCCACTCTCCGGCGGGCACGATGCCCAGCTCCCGGTAGTACCGCTCGAATAGCTCGTTTTCCTTCACGATCTCGGGGTAGCCGCCGGCCCAGCCCTGAAGAAAAGCGCCGCCACCGTCAGCCCGGCAGCTCCGGCGCTCCCCGCCCCGCTTCACCTCCCCCGGCCCGGCTCTCACCGCCTGGTCCCCGCTGCCGCCACCGCCGCCGCCCCGCTCCTGCCGCTGCTGCTGCTGCCGCCGGCGGTCCCGCGCCCTGCGGCCCATGGCAGCCAGGCGGCGGCCGAGCCGCGCCACCAGCCCCGCCGTGAGGAAGAGCGGCCGCTCTCGCCCCGCTCCCGTCCCGCTCCCGGCCGGCCAAAGAGACCGCACGGCTGCCGCGTGCTCCCGGCGCGCACGCGCGGGCCCGCCTTCTCCCGGCGCCGCTTCCCGGCGGAACTTCCCGAGCGCCCGGCCCGGCGCGGCCCCACCCACAACGGGCGGGCGGGGGCGGGGCGGCGGCGGCGGGCACGCCCCCGGCGGCCACTGGCGGTGCCAGATGAACCGAGGCGGCGGAGCGCGATGGGCTCTGCCGGCGATGGCGGCGTGTGCGCGCTGTGGCGCCGGGCCGAGGGCCCCGAGGAGCGGCGGCTGATGGAGCTCTTCTCCTACGGGCTGATGGCGCTGGGCGCCGTCTCCGCCCTGCTGCTCCGCTTCATCCCCATGCCCTACGGCCGGTACTCCTCGCGGCGCTTCGGCTGGCTGCTGCCCGCCCGCCCCGCCTGGGTGCTGCAGGAGCTGCCCTCGCTCCTCGTCCCGCTCGGGCTCGCCGCCTGTGGCGGGGCGGTCGCGGCCGCCCGGCCCAACCGTGTCCTGCTGGGCTGCTTCCTCCTGCACTACGCGCACAGGTGCGGCGGCGGGCGGGCGGGCGGCGCTGCCAGCGGGCACCGGCGGGGATGGGGCGGCTGGCGGGGGCTCCCTGCCGTGCTGGGGGCGGGAGAAGGGGTCGGTCTTCATAGAGATACCTGGTTGCTACTTCCCGACTGAAGGGGCTGAGGTTCTGTTAATTAGCGTTTGTTACTTAATGTAATGGTTACTGACGTCTCTTCTGCTTCGCTACACTGTGATATGTCCCGTGTTGTTACGGCAGCCGGGCGAATAGCTGTGGCCATGCGGTGCCGGCTGCCTTGTGCGCGCTGCGCACTGCGATGCTCCGGCGATGCTCTTGGCGCTCCCTAAGAGCCCCGCTCCATCCTTGTGCTGCTGCTGCTGCTGTGCCTCCCGCTTCAGCAGTGGATTGAGCAGGCTGTCTTAAGGTCACTGTGTTACAACAAGGAAAGTTCAGCACCGTGTACTGATATAATCTTGATGTTACTAAACAATAGCTATTTTCTAATTATATTGTTCAGCATTGTCTTTCAACACAGCGTTTGTTGCAGGAGTTGGACTGGATGAGCCTTGTGTGTTTCCTCTAGCTCAGTATATTCAATGATTCATTAAAATACTGGCAAAGCTGAGGCTGAGTGTTGCCAGGTAGTCAACAGTATTCAGGCATTTTGTAAAAATACTTGGAGAAGGCAGCTTAGTTGGAACCCAGGTGCGATCTTGCTGTTCCCTTCAAGTTATGGACAGTAGCTACTTGTCTTACTCCACGAGTAAATTTGCCACCAGGACAGGAGAGTTCAATTTGTCAGGTTTATTTTAAGTCCCTTGTGTGGCTGAAATGGTATTTTCTGATACTTATTGAGAAAAGCTCTTGCTTTTGACTTCGTGTATTCCACAGTCTTGTAGTGGGGAGGTATATGACATATGGTCGGCCTGGAGGCTGCCTTTGAAAACCTGCAATTGTGTCTTTGCTCCCCCTTTTTCTATTCTTAAGTGTAAAGACATTAGTTTTTACATGGGATCTTAACTCATCCTTGATGTCTGGGAATAACTAGGAATGTGAGGCAATGATTTGTACAAAAAGGTGAGCTGTGCTGCAGTTTCTTTTTTTCCACTTGCTTGTTGCTGTTGCCAAACCCAAGGGACTCTTGTGTGGGTGAATGTAGACTGGAAGAGACCTCTGTTAACTTGTTCTGTTTCTTGTGGCATTGCATGCTTTAAATAATCCTGTAGTGAATTTATTACTCTTTCTTGAAAGCTGTTAGGATTGGACTTCTTTTGGAAAAGTTATTTTGAAGCAGTTGTCCTTGGGTAGGTGGAAGACACATGAAGAATGCTCAGGCTTCAGTGATCCTGTTTCTGTATCATTATAGATAATAATTAAATTAATAGACAATGGGGAGTTGGCTAGTTCCACAAGAAAGAGCACAAGAGTATTCACCTGCTCTTCTTGTTTGGAGCTAGTTTGTTTACTTGCATAATCCCCCAGGAAAAGCAATCAAGATTCCTTTCCCAAATGGGATGGCAATTGAGGGTTTGTCCTGTCTTTAGAGGTGTCATAGAGTAGACCAAAACTGTCAAGGTGAAGCAATTAATGTTTTGGCTTACAGGGTAGGGAGGAAACTGAGGTCAATTAGGTTAATTTGAAGGGGATTGACTTTTCCCCTGGAGATGCTGGGGGAATTTAGTGGAGGGGTCTTGTTTCCTAGCTCATCTCAGAAAGCTTGATGATACAACTGAGGGTTTAGGGACAAAAATGGACTGTGCTTAATATCAGTTGTCTTTATTCCTCTCACCAAAGTAATTGCCTTGGATGCAAAGTTCAAAATTTCTGCCATACAGTAGAGAGGACTGGTTTTGTAATTCCAACTAGGCAAAAAAAAAAAAGAATGCTTTAGATATTAAAGCAAGTGCAGCTATCCTTTCAGACACCAAGGGCTGGTGCTGAGGATTTGTAAAGTAGGATAGTGTGGACGTCAAAGCTATCATTTTTGCGGTTAATACAATAAATTTTCTTTTCTTTGTTTGCTAAAGGGCACTCATCTTTCCCCTTCTGATCCGTGAAGGAAAACCAACACCGTTTTTCACTTTTGTGTTAGCGCTTCTGTTCTGTGCTTTCAACGGGTACTTGCAGGGCCGAAGCTTAACCACCTATGCAACTTACCCTCCAGGCTGGCTGGGCGGCTCACGCTTCATTACAGGTGTGTTAAATCATGTTATGAGAACATCAGGTGTCAGTTTCCTCTGTCTTCATAGCTCTTAATTGTGATTTTATAGTATCTTTAATGCCATTTTATAAGTCTTCTTATAGTTTTCTCATCGGTGTAGCTGGAGGCCTTTTAACCTCTTTTTTAGCCTGTGAACTGACACTTCTTTCTGCAGTGCTAGATAATCTGATTGTTGTATTTACTCTATAACAGCCAAGTAAATCCAGGTCATGTATTATTTTTTTTCATGTAGAAGCTTGAAGCCCTACATGGAACCAGCAGCATGCAGGTTTAGAAGAAGCAAAGCTTTTCTGTCTAACATGTAGATTAAACTAAAGTAACAAATTAATGGAGTAAAAAACCTAGCAAGGGTAGCTGCTAACTACTGACATGCCATGGCAAATGCTGCAAGTCCTTGTTGTCAGGATATCTACACTGGATACACACACAGGCACCAATCCAGCTGCCCTTGTAATCGGGGGGTGGCTTTGTCAAATGACAAAACTGGCCACACAAGGAAGGGGTGGAGGGGTTGATCATTCACTCCCAATTGGGAAGTGAGGTTACATTTATACTTGAAGCCAGGGATATGATTAAAAGACTAAGGTATTTAGTGACAAAATATTTTATTTACTCAATTTTTTTCCTTCCTAGACATCTACTTTTGCCTACTGTTAAAATTATAGTATCATTTCCTAGTGAAATCTTTACAGAAAGACAATTTTCATCTGAAGATAAACCAGATTGTTTTGCCTCATCAGTCAAAGGCGGAGTAGTGGGCAGTGTAACCTCTCACTGTGGAACCCTTTTATAAAGTTTGTCTGTTTTGGGGAACAAAATAATTTATTTCTACAGCAGTAATTGATTTGGAGCAGGAATGTAGTTTTGATGTGATTTCCTCATGGTTTCTCTGGACTGTGTGTTGGTTTATTTCAGAGCAGTGAACTTGTGTGTTTTCAGAGAAACAGGAATGTTCTGCTTCAAATGCAGAATGATAAGCTTGCAAACCAAGAACATCATAATCTTTCAGCATGAACCTTACACCTGTATGCCAATAAAGAGCTTGTGAATTTACCAAGAGAGCTGGTGATACCCTGAAGCGGTGACTGCTATAAACAGGACACCAACACCTCTGTGCCTCACCCTTGTGTCCTTTCCTAATCTGTCTGCACTTGTAGCTGGAAACTCCTTTCTTCCTTTGCTTGCTTTAGCTTCTTCAAACCCTTTGCAGTATGCCATGTCTTTTCTTACTTCTTTAAGTCCCTATTCAACTACCTCCTTTTAATGTTCATGGCTAACTCTTGTGTGCATCAAAACACTTCTTTAGCAGGAGTTCTGCAAAACAGAACAGCACCCGTAACTTACAAGGTGCAGGTTACAGAACATCAGCTCCTCAACTGTTGCTTTTGTTTTGGTTTTTTTTAATGAAGCTTCTTATCTGGCCACCAGGCAGCTAAGCACACGTGTCACCTCTGCTCTCTTTGCACATCAAACCTGAAGAGCATGTATGCATTGTCCAAATCTGTGTATAATCTTGCAGGAAAGGGATGTGGGTTACCGGTGTCTCTCCTAATAATGATAGGTACCTAGATGCTTCAGGTGATTGTGTCTTGTTGGAAAAACTTATCACAGAATCTGAGATGAGGCACTAGTTAACTTCAAAACACAGATCTTATCTGTTCCTTATCAGCAGGGAATGCTGCTTTCAAGGGAAGATAACATGGGTAACATGTTAGGGATAAAAAAAAAATTAATTTCAATCCTAAATTCCTTTTGATTTATCCCACCTTCATGGCAACATAGCAACATAAGGATGCAGAATGTGACAGCAATCTCAGTTTCTGCGAAAGGCTGTAATAAATGGCTAAACCATTTTGCTGAATGAGTAAATGACATGTTAATTCCTTCACAGTTGTATTCCTTTTATTGCACAGAAATCTGTTGGGGAAATTCTGATGTGCTATCAGTAACATAGTCAAAGGAGAGTGAGGCTAAGATGTGTCCCTCTGGGAAGATTAAAAATGGCTGTTTCTTTCAGTGTGTAAAATCTTAGCATATTTTTCTATGTCAAAGTCAGGGAAACATACACGTTACATCTGCATATATGCACGTACATACATTTATAAAAGTCTAGCAACATAGGAATAAACTTCATTTTTTAAAGTGCTATTTCCCATCTAGGGAGCTGTTGATACTGTGAGCTCTGCTGATTGAAGAGCACAGTGTGGGACTGGGACTGTGCAGGATGTCACCAGAGCTGTTTATGCTGCTTACATTACTACTGCTTTGAGACAATATGCCTAATGTGCTATTGGACTGTAGTTTGTTTTCTGAACAAACACAGTGCACTAAATATTGTATTTTCAATATTTCTCTTCAGGTTTTTTAGGATGGTTGATTGGCATGGCCATCAATATTCATTCTGATCATATTCTCAGAAATCTGAGAAAACCAGGGGAAACTGGTTACAAGATACCAAGAGGTAAGTAAAATGGTACAGAAATTAATACAACAAAAAGAACTATCTCTCATATAAGAAGAGGTGGAGAGAACTTGGACTCTTCAGACTGGAGAAGAGAAGGCTCAGGGAGGTCTTACCAAAGTTTATATATTATGAAGAAGAGAGAACCAGGCTCTCCTTAGTGGTGCCTAGTGACAGGACCAGAGGAAGTGGACACAAAATTCAAGCACATAAAATTATATCTGAGTTTTTGGGGTTTTTTTTGGCTGGGAGGATGGTCATACATACAGGTATGGAGCAGGTTGCTCAGAGAGATTGGAGGGAGACTCGGAACCACACTGGGCATAGTCCTGGACAACCTGTTCCAGCTGATCCTGTTTCAACTGTGCTGGTTGAACAAGGTTATCTCAAGAGATCCCTTCCAATCTAAAATGATTCTCTGTGAAAATGGCCTTCTAAAGCTTAGTGTATTTTAGAGGAGATAGTAATTTATGATATAAGAGGCAACTGGAAATAGCATTTTGTTTTCTACCACGGGAAGTGGTAGAAATTTTGGTTTCCACCACGGGAAGTGATTTTGTAGTTTGGGAAACATTTTTTTTTCCCCCTGAAGCCAAATATTGGAAGGAATCTGTTTCATTATATCACTTGGCTTGTGCAAATCTTTGGGTTTCTTGACCAACATTGGCTATGTTTTTAAAAAAGGGTAAAAATGTAACAGCATTGCCCAGCTTTTCAGAGAATCAGCAGGTGGGTGGAGAAGAAAGACCTAAATTATTCACTCAGTGTGGGGGCAGCAGGGGAATGAAGAAAGTACTCTGTGTGTGATCCATCTCATGTCCGATATAAGAGGGAGGTACCTGAAGTAATTGGAGAACAGCAACAATTTTGAAAAGGGAGACTCAGGGAAAGGAGGACAGAAATCCAAATGAATTTGGATTGTAAATTCTGGCCTTCATGGGAAAATGGAGAATATGAAAGGCTTTCTTATGGGGACTATATTGAAGTGTTAAGGTTTATTATGACTTTTGGAAACAGGCACTCTTCTGGGTACATTACACTCACTGAGAGCAGAAAGATAATACCTCTGAATTCTGTTATCTCACTACATTTTTTTTCTTAGTTGTTGCTTTTTCTTGGTTGTTAATTTTTTTTAAATAAAACTGTAAGAACTAAGATATATAAAGTCAACTGTTATTTTTTCAAAATAATTGCCGTTTTAATAGATGTAAATGGAAGTGCTCATGTGAAAAATTAATATGAACATACTATATTGTGTTCAGTGATCAAAAAGGTTCTGAAGGAAATTTCTGAAGGAAATATGTTATTTGCTGTGAGATCAGGAGTAGCTGATCTTTTTCATACTGCTTATCCTGTTTAAGTGCTAGAATTTTACTTTTCTTTTGTCACAAAGGTAGTGTAATTAGAGCAAGGTCAAAACATGTCCTTTATTACATTTGCCAAATACTTGTTTGTTTAGTCCTACTGGTAAAGCACATACTGAGATGTTATCCATTTGTACACCAACTTTAGAATTAGGGTGAAATTCTTGATTTATAAAATTCCTAGCAGCTGAGTACCAATTGTTTATGCACAATTGTCTATACAATCGATTTAACACAGGCTGCCAAATTTTCACTGAGTGTAGAGGCTGAAACAGCAAATCTGATGAAGAATGGGAACAAAAGTGCAATAACTTCATAAGCTAGAAAACAAATTTGGAACTTTACTTCATAATAATAGTACTGTTCATAATTAACTTATTTTCTAAAGTACTTAAAGAAATGAAATTATAGGCTAAGTAACCCTATGAGTATTTTCTGGGACTCAAGGGGAGTATGTCTTCTATTTCTACATATTTTAAAAAAGTTTTAGGGTATGATCAAAGAACACGTCATTAAGTAATTATTCACAAAGGCATGTACTTATGTACTTGCTTCTGATCCTAGTAAATCTGCTTTTCTTTCTTTATTTAAAGAGAAAAAGTGGGGCTACAAAAGGTCTGTCTTAGAATGAGGTCTGAAGTGTTCCTTCATAGTGCAGCTTAAACTGAAAAATGCTGTCTCCTCTGCCTTTAAAAATCAAATAGAGACATTGGTGATATAGCTCCTACTTGGTGTACAGAAAAGTTCAAAATGCCTTAGTCAAGATGTTCAATGTTACCTAACTCTGTCCTGCTTTCAGGAGGAATGTTTGAGTATGTCAGCGGAGCCAACTTTTTTGGAGAGATCCTGGAATGGTTTGGGTTTGCCCTTGCCTGCTGCACCATTGAAAGCTTTGCATTTGCATTGTGCACTCTCTTCATCCTGAGTTCAAGGGCAAGACAACACCACAAGTAAGGGTTCCTGCCTTGTCAGTTCTGTTGTCTCTATGCCACACTGCATTTCCATTTCACAAATTATGCCTCATCCTACAGGGATGTTGCAGAGCAAGTCTTGTGAAAGAGAATGTTGCTGTAGGGCAGAATATGATAAAGAATACTCTGAGAAAACTAAGTATTGCAGAATTTCAGCAGAATAGTACAGAACATAAACACAGTACAACAAGGTGGTCAAAATAAGGTTTAAATGAAGATAGTTCATCCTGGATCTGTAAAAATTATAGGCAAGTTTAGCAATATTGTCTTAATTAATCAAATACTATACTTTCCCTTCTCAAACTTGTTTCTCTAATATATAAATTTTTGAAAATCACCCAAGCTGTCTTTAACAGGCACACTTTATAGTCATGTCTGTATCATATTGTCTATAATCAATTGTATGGACATTATGAAAACAGTTCTGATAGATGACATTTAATGAACTATCTGCTCTAAACATTCTGACTGTTCATGTACTGTATTTAGAGTGTGGCTTTCCTGCTAACAAGAAGGACCATAATTTGGGGAGACTTGTTTCCTGAAAGGATTCTCATTAAGGAATAGCATGCTTTAATGAATTTGAACATGTTAATTTTATTTTGGATATTTTCAGCTTCCTGCTTTGGTTCTCATGTTGAAACTTAGTGGCATAAAAGGAAATAAACATGAATTTAAGGAGGAAATGGGTTGGAAAAAAATATTGACCATCTGTGAGGGCAGCCATGTCTATGTCTAATGGAGTGCTAAAAACCTCCAGAAGGAGGTTGTTCCTTGTTTGTAGGATGTTTGGGTCTGAAGTACCCTTCCAGTGAACAAGTTTCTTCCACTATCCAACCTGGGCCTTCCAAACCTGTTGCCTTTGATCATCTCCCTGTTTTATCACCTGCTATTACTGAGCAGAGTTGCAGAGTATCTTGAGTTGGGAGGAGCATTTGAAGGTTGTCCAGTCAACTGGTGTGTGGCAAGCCACAAAGCTCTGCCCAGTTGCCCAGGGCTCATCCAATTGACTTCTGAGTGTCTCCTCCTTGGCAGATGAAGCAAGGACAGGTTCTCCTGCCTCTCCCTGTGTATTACCTTCTTCAGGTTCAAATTGCATGGTTGGTTTCCATCAATCTTAAGCCTTGATGGCACTCTTTCAGAACATCAAGAAAAGCTAAATGTTGTTAAAGGAAGTTTTTTACACTAAAGGAAAAATGCATGAAAATGGAACAGGGTACAGGAAAAAATAGCTAATCCATGTAAGTGAAGAAACATGTTAGTTTAGTTGGTTTATTTAAAAAACTTAGAATAAATTACTGAAATGGGTAAATAGGGTAATAATTGTATTCCCTAGATGCAGGTTGCACCTATCATGCATTGCATGTTTTGTTCTGTTTATTCCAGCTTTGATCTTGCAGTTGGTTAGCTATTGATATTATGAATATCTGCACTTTCAAGGAGCCCAGGTGAACTTAGTTCTTTTATTTCAGAGAAGCAGAATCAATATTCAAAAATAGGAGTAAACATGCTTGTTATGAAAGGTGAAAACACAAATAATATATGATAGCTCTCTGCAATTTTTAATTGTCTGGATTTGAAAATAGTGATGGTCTTTGAGGGGTGTTAGCAGTAAGGCAAGTGCAATGTTCATCATGTTCAGTTTGGTTACCCAGATTCTAACGGCAGCCAAAGATGCTTCTATGCAGAATGGGACTCTCCTTCCAGTGTGTGAAGTATCCCTTGCTTCCACATGAAGTCATTATGCAATGACAGGTTTTTGATTTTATTTTTTCCCCCTCTAATTTTAAAATACGTAAATACTCAGTATGTATAACACCATACATTTTGAAAGAATGGGTTATTCCTTCCCTGACATATCTCACCATGTCTGTTAGTTTGATTTCCCATTACTGGCAGGTGTAACTTAGTTTTGTTGTATTTGGTGATTAGATGTCATTAGGATGAGTGCAGTAAATGCCATTTTTCTATCCAGAGTAGGTTATAAAGGTGTTGGGTTTTTTTTTGTTTTTTTTTTTTTTTTTTGTTTGTTTGTTGTTTGTTTGGACTTTTTTTTTGTAGACAAAAACATGTATGGATTAAATTAAACACATTGTACAATTCTTCATTTCCTCAGCAGTGTTTTGAAGACTCAATACTCATCAGATTTTTTTTTTATTTTTCAGATGGTACCTTGAGAAATTTGAAGACTATCCAAAGGACAGAAAAATTGTCATCCCATTTTTGTACTGAGCCGTGCTTTTAACACTTTGAGATGGATGCTTTTAGTAACAGCCAACATTTTACAGATGCTGGCAGGTTAGCAACACACTTGGATCATCACTGTGGCAAAGCCTTTCCATCAGTGCTGCTATTACTTACTGCTTTTTCCTCTTAATAGTAACCCAGAAATCTGATGGACAGGGTGAATAGGAACAGAAATGGTTTTCCAGCAGTGAAGCACCTTCATAAATACATTAGGAAATGAGTCTGAATTGGCATCGTGGGAAGTACTGTGCATGACTTCTGATGCATCTTTTTCTGCCTGTGAGGGCTTCTGCTGTTTCCACTCAATGTAGGCAAGCTGTCCTGAGGATTGTGCTGTGAGCTCAGCTACTCTCACTGCAGTCTGGATGCTGTGTTCTGCCTACATACACAAACAGGGTTGATTTTATTTTTTTTCCTTGCCTTAGTAATCCTTTAAATTCCCCCCCACCTCCATTTCCAGAGGAGCTGGTGATGTAGACCAAGGAATTAGATGAATACAGTTGCTTTTAGATGAGAGGCAGTGTTTTTCCTTCTCTTTGCACTCTTACAAATATAGGGGCACTGTACAGACAATATCTAATGATATTAACATAAAAGTTGTACTGCGAATAGATTAATATTGTCATCTACCTCTTAAAATTGATAACTATCTCAATATGCAATATGTGTCTTCTCACTCTAAACTGGTTTTGGAACTCTACTTAGGATACTTAGGCCAATTTGGCATTGTTAACAATTGTGTAATGTTTTCTAACTTAATTTATAAAAAACCCTTGATATTTAAAAAAATTTTCTTACTATGCTGTTTTAAAAAAATCAAGTGTCTTCCTTCTTCTGTTGCTAACATTCTAGATTATCTTATATTCTAAAATTCTGGAGCCCTGTGTCCGTTCTCATACCCCAACCTTTTGCTCACAAAGGACTCCAGATGGTTTCAAGAACATGATGGGATCCCAAGCATACAGATTTTCAAGTTCTGTGTCTTTTGCATGATTGTAATAATAAAGAGTCTTTTTTTTTGGTGTCAGCAATTTTAAAAACAAACCCAAAACAACTCAAAGGAAAACTAAAAAAAAAGGCAATCCAACAAACCCCCCAAATGAACAAATTCTAATAATTTAAAAAATTTAAAAAACAAACAAATGAACACTAACTGAAAAATCTTTCCACAAAACCCCAAAACTCTGCTGCTAATATAATTTGAAAATAAATTGAATTCAAACTTTTGCCAAGTGTCATCTGCTCTGTTTGCACTTCTATGTTGGGTTATATTCTTCAAAACAAATTAGTAACATAATTTTGCCAGATGCTAAGTTTTCCAGGAAGATTTGTTTTGATGAGTAGTCATGATGCTTGCTGGAGAGGAAGATGGTGAAGAGTTTGATTTACTCCTCAATGCTAAAATGGAGTTATTTGACAATGAAAGTTCAATAGTTCACTTAAAGCATATTCTGAAGATAATTTTAGAATCTGAGTCTTACATATCAGGATGTTTATAAATCCTGTTATCTCTGCAACATTTTAAAAAATCTTCTTGTTTAAATCATCCACCTATAAAAATCTCTTAGTGGAAAAAATATAGGATTCAAAAAGCCACTCTCTCCCCAAGGTCTTTAAACACTTATGTAGTTTATGGTGAATTAATATCTTTTTTGGGTTGGTGTGGCCAGATTTTGGTGATGGGGGCCCCAGGGGTGACTTCTGTAAGAAGCTGCTAGAAGCTTCCCCCATGTCTGGCAGAGTCAATGCCAGCTTGGCCCAGGGCCAGCCTGCTCCTGACCAAGGCCAAGCCCATCATGAAGGATAGTAATGTCTTTGTAATAACATATTTAAGAAAGGAAAAAATATGTTCTTGGGCAGAGCAACATTTATGCAGACACCAAGAGGAAGAGTGGGAGGAGTTGCTTCAGGTGTTGGAGCTGAGATTCCCCTGCTGGAGCTGTGGCCCTGCAGGCCATGGAGGACCATGGGGATGCAGAGACCCACCTGCAGCCTGTGGAGGATCCTCATGCTGGAGCAAGTGGCTGCCTGAGATGAGGCTGTGAAGCCATGGGAACCCTGTCCTGGAGCAGGGTTGTGATAGGGATGTTTGGAGAGAGGAGCCCATGCTAGGGCAGCTTCCATGACTTGTGACCCTGTGGAGAACTCATACTGAGCAAGTTGTGCCTGAACCGCTGCACTCTGTGGGAGAGCAATCCATGTTGGAGCAGTTCATGGAGAGCTGTTGCCCACGGAATGGACTCAGATTGGAGTTCATGGAGAACTGTCTCCCATGGGAGGGACCCCATGTTGGAGCAGGGGAAGGCTTCCTCTCCTTGAAGAGCAGGAGATACCACAGGTGATGAACTGACCATAGCCCCCATTCCCTGTCTCCCTGAGCCTCCCTGGGGGAGGAGGTAGAGCTTGGGAAGAAGAGAAGGGTGGAGGGAAGGTGTTTTTAACATGTATTTTACTTTTGATTATCCTGCTCTGGTTTTGTTAGTAATAAATTCAGTTAATATCACCAATTTGAGTCTCTTTTGTCTGTGTCAATATTTGATGAGTGATCTCTCTGGTCATTATCTCACCCCATGAAGCTTAGGCTTTGGTTTCTTCTCCCTGTCTATTTGTGGAGAGGAGTGACGGAGTGGCTTTGGTGGACACCTGGCACTTGGCCAGGGTTGACCCACCAAAATATCTTATATCTTCAGGGATATTTGTTTAAAAATCAGTAATGGGTCAACCTACCAGTAAAAAATCACCTTTCTGCAGCAGTTCAGACTCTAATCTAACACTTCTTTTTTTTTTTGCCTTTTTTGAAAAGGCAAATGTTCTTTTAAATACTAAACAGTGAAAGAAAGGTCAGTGTTTATTACATCTCCATATTCAGGAGCTGTAGCTCTCTAGTCAGTAGTCTTCTAACATAGCTTCCAGAAAATTTGAACAGATGTCTTGATTTTGCTCTGCTACTATGCTAATAAATATTTATCTTGCCTAAAAGTTCAGTTGGTTTGCCCACATTATGTTAATTTATGGTTTGCCTACAGTGGGATAGGATCTGAAGTGTGATAGTCTGATAGCTTATCCCTGTTCTCTCTCTTGTTACAGAAAAGGAAAAGCTAAGGTCTGTGGGCTGTGAATGTCAGCATGTTTAGAAATGTTAGTTAATTGGATTAATAAGAAAAATCCGAAACCCGAGCCAGACGGTTTTGTTCTCCTGTGATTATATTTTATATTCTCATACTTCTAAAGCCTTCCCTAAGTAAAGTACAGATTTTATTTGAGGCAGTTCTTAGAGGGCAGGTCTTATGAGGAGCAGCTGAAAGAGCTGGGACTATTCAGCCTGGAGGAAAGGGGGCCCAGGGGGAATCTTACTACTCTCTACAACTGCCTGAAAGGAGGTTGTAGCCAGGTGGGAGTTCATCTTTTCCCAGGTAACCAGTGATAGCATGAGAGGAAATGGCTTTATGTTGTGCCAGGGGAGGTTTAGATTGGCTATTATGAAAAATTTCTTCACTGAAAGGGTCGTCAAGCCCTGGAACAAGCTGCCTGGGGAAGTGATGGAGTCACAATCCTCGGAGGTATGCATGTAGTTGTGGCACTGAGGGAGATGGTTTAGTGGTGGACTTGGGAGTGCTGGCTTAAAGGTTGGCCTTAATTAACTCTGAGGTCTTTTCCAACTTAAAGGAATGACTCTGTGATTCCCACATTTCAAGACCCAGGTACATTGGTGAAAGCATGTGATCAACTTGGTCAAATGCTAGAATTGTCTTTTGTTTAAACAATATCCCACTCATTTGCCATCACTTGCAATCCCTTTCCTTTTCAGCAGCTCTGACAGATTTTTCTGTTGGAAAATATCTAATACTGAAACATTTTTCTCAAGAATATGTAATGTGAGAATGAACTCTGCTCTGCACATTCCAGAGGGAGAAAACATGCATACTTGCTATTGGGTATATCTGTAGCTATTTTTAATAGAGATGCTTCTAGTCAGATTGATACATCTTTCCCCCAAATCCCTCACTAATAAAACATGATTTGTGGTGTCTTGCTTGAATACTTTTTTTTTCCTGTTAGTAATCCCCGCTCTAATTTGTGGAGATTGACCAAGGCTTTTGTATCAACAATTTCATTATCCCAGCTGAGATCTTGGGGAGTGTAAAAACAAGATTGGATTAGTATGACCTAGATGCATGTGTGAACTTGATGAGATGCACTCAGAGCAGTTATTAAGAGTCACAAGGTAAATTTGTCTAGTGATACATTCTTAGTTACGTAAAACAAAGTATGTAACTGAGATGTTCTACACTTGCAGTTAGAGCAAAGATTAACAGAAGCAGAGGCTGCTCACTTGGGTTCCTCTCCTGCTGCTTTTTTCACTTGAAAGAACTGTAGCAGCTGCTGTTTCAACTGTTTTAATTAAGATTCAGCATGATATTATCTTTTCGGGGACTGAAGATAGTATACAAATGACTTGTAGAAACTTGAATTCTTCCAGCAGACAGGAAATCCTGAGTGCCTAACACAGTTTTTAAATCCTTTTTGTGATTGAAATATATTAATAGCTTTAGTATGAGACTGTCCCAGTCTGTTCTATGCTTCTCAGTTTTACCAATAACAGTTGCAGTTGTCAGGGCAGCCTTTCATCCATTTTGTAAGGAAAGCAGATCTCAAGTTAAAATTGCACCACTTTTTACAGTGATGCAACGTATTTATCACCATCTATGTGCTCATGTGCCCACAGAAAAATATGTGTAAGCAAGCAATTAAATTTATGTTGCAGGACAACTGAAGGGCAAAGCCTTAACCAAGGTTTGCATCTGAAAGAATTGCACAACTGAAGCTTGCTCTTGAACATCTTAAAACAGCATGTTTTTCACATCTCTTGCTTGATTTACCATGTCTGCTTAAAAATCAAAGCTAATACATGATGCATTGTTGTGTACAAGGGGGTAGTGGAAGCAATAGGTTATTTGTTCACAGAGATGAAAGAAAAACTAACAATTGGTATCCTTTGGTGTAATGCTGCCCTGGAGATGATGCCTTACCAATGTGCTAGGAGTGTCTCAATGGTGTTGTTTGTCCCTGCTCCCTCTTGTTTTGGAAATATCTGTCCAGTTTCTGAGAAGACATGTGTGGCTGGATCCAAAGAGCTAGCACTAGCAAAGCCACATGTTCCAGCTGCTCTGGGAGGGAGCACTCCATTTCTCTTGGGCTATTGAAAGGGAAAAGCACAGCAAATTTAGTTATAAACTTCTGCCAGAAAAGAAACAGCTGTGCCATCTGGGAATGGGGGCTCAGACATTGAGCTGCACTGTCCAGACTAAAGAACAGTCCAACATAAGTAAGAAAAACCTACTTCAGGTACCTGCTATATTTGTGTTCTGCTGGCTGCTTCATGGGGCTGGAATCTAACCTTTTTAATCCATATTAGTCTGTTGGTGAACAGTCCAAGAGGCTTCCACTTATGTCCCCATTCCACATGTTGTTTTTGCTGCAGAAGACCAAGAGGCACATGCTGTGCAGAGCCAGGGTCCTGCTAATGTGCAAGAAAGCCCTGTGACAAAGCAGCCCAGTGCAATAGTGTATTTGTAGGATTTTAATGTTTTTCAAAGGCAAGTATGTTTCCTCTTTCATTCTCTGCCTGTCTCTTTGAAAAATGGTGATGGTATCACCATCAGGATGGAAAAGAAGAACTGAATTTGAAATCCCAAATAGTACTGTGAAAGTGCTCAAGTGTTAAAGGACAGTCATCAGGATATACTGAAGTCAGTAACCAGAGAGGAAAATAGTCCTTTTCACACTTCAAATAATCCTTGCAGATTTTACTAGACCTCAGAAATAGAGTATGAGATTAAACATAATATTTAGTCTGAAACAGTGCAGTATATGATAATTACTGATAGAATAAAGTAATACTAGGAAGAGTAGTTTAGAAAATATGAGTAGTTATGCAGACAGCATACAGCCATATAATGTTATGAATAGAAAGCTAAATGACCAAGAAGAAATGTGCTATTTTCATAAGCAAAAAGGGAACACTGCTCTAGTGTGGAGTCTTCCTTGGGCTGCAGGTGGATCTCTGCTCCATTATGGACCTCCATGGGCTGCAGGGGCACAGCTGCCTCCCCATGGCTGCAAGGGAATCTCAGCTCTGGCACCTGGAGCACCTCCTTGCCCCTCCTTCCTCGAGCACCTTGGTGTCTGCATAGCTGCTCTTCTCACAAATTCTCACTCCTCTCTC